ATAGCACACAAAAGGTCTTTGGGTTCACGTTTAATGAAGTCCAGGTGAAACAATGCCTAATCAGGTGACCTTTAAAGAAGTCCTTAATTTAAAGCCTACGGCACTGCAAGAATGAAAGGACGAATTTAGGGTTTCCCATGTGTTCTGTACTTCAGCTGGAATGAGAAGTCGAGGAGAAATTCACTGGCTGCCAAACATTACGGAGTAAAAGCTTTAACCCTGTAGAACACCTGATTCATTCTCTATAACAGCAGCTCTGACAGTAGCGCAGGTTTACATTAATGCACTCGTTCTAATACATTACCGTTTCTATAGTAACCGCTCATTCACAGGGACTTGTACAGTGGACGCGCCACAAATAATAAACAGATTTTAAAAAATCATCGATATGAAGTTTTCTGTACAGAGAAATATGTCTTATTTAACATGTATGGAAGGAGTCTCCAGTGTCAGTGCTTTGTAACAGTCAGAGGTAAAGCTGTAACTTTAAGTTTTCCGACATCTTCAGGACAGAGGAGTTTACGCTTCTTTGCGGTTTCTCAGTAACGTAACAAGCCGCGTTGTTATTTTTGAGAAATGAGGGAACGACTGTTTATAGCTGTTGCTCATTTGAGCTATATTTATTTATTTAAGAGAAAATCTGTGATAATACGAGACCTTTTAGGATCTTTGTGGAAGAACTATTTGTGTTTGGAGAGGATGCTTTGATCCCTAGTCACCCTCTCAAAAGCAGATTAGTGTAAATATGTATAAAGATGTGTCACTGCTATGATCTAGCTAATATTTAAAGATGTTATCGGTCCAGAATTTGAGCTCATGTCTGCTCTGGTAAGGCATAAGGCAGTTTACGACCAGTCGGCGCAAAGAGCTTAAATTCATGCCCACACGGCTTTAACTGAGCTTATGATCAGATGTAAGGCCACGTGATTGTAAGACCTCTACAAACATCTCACAGCTTCATCGGGTTCCTCTGTAGGCCAGAGGTTAAGCAACGGTGACTGGAAGAACTTCACGTATGACTTCCTGAAAGTCTGCAGGATGACTGTAGTTAATGTTTACAGAGAATTCCTGCAGTCTCGTTGGATGTTATTATGGCTGTGAGTCAGTGGTGAGTAGAGGCTTCTGAGAAGCTGACCGTGAACAACAGAGACATGTACTTCATTACAGTTTCAGCTTATAATCTATTAAAAGCTCGCTGAACGTGACGCTTACAAACGTGCATATTTTCCTGATAATATGGAACAGGCCTTAAATGGAAATATTATTAAGTGCGAGGTTAGGGAACAACCAACCGGGGTGTTATTTAATGCAAAACGTTCCTTCAGTCCGAGCTGAAATATTTCTGAGGTTTCCTTTTTAGACTCTAACCTTGGGCTTGGTGGTAGATCCACAGATTAATTTATTGTTTTGACTGGTTCTTCTCTGTGCTTTAAAAAGTTTGGGAAATGCTCTTCATTCCAGATCGGTCTCGTCCAATTCCTCTGGTACCGAGGTTTTTCATGAGCAGTCTAGTGTGGATCCAAAAATCTGGCAAAGGCTGGAGAGAAATGAATGTGTTTTTGTTAATGGTCCAACACCCCCTTCGAAGCAGTGTTATTGTGCAATAATATCACATTCCCTCTTCCTTTGCTCCACGTGTTGGCAGCTCTTTGGCTCCTGACAGTTTCCCATCCAGCGGCACGTCCTTAATGAGGTGCCAACAGGATGTGTCCGTGGCAGCCATCTTTAACTTGGACAGCTGGCACCGGGCCTCAGGGCCACAGCGTTCGGGACACGACGAAAGGCCAGCGGCTGCCCCACTTCATTTTCCTCAGCAGTCGCAGGAAGAATAGCTGTGGAGAGTCTCCAGAGGAACACGCTAACCACATGTACACAATGAGGAGGAGAATAAATCTGAAAGAGGGCACCATTCAGCGATATTTATATACGATATTCTTACTAAACACGGCTCTGCTTTACAGCCTCTAATGATCGCCTTTTAAAGCCATCTTTTAAAAAAATGGATAAACCAGAAACACAACTGCCCTGGGACTGGACTTTAATAAGGAGAATATGGTGGAATAGTTAGTGTCGGGAATTTTGCCTAAATAGTAAAACTTACAAAAGCCTTCTGTAAAAATCTGAACTCAGACATTTAAGAGATACACTATACGGTCAAAAGTATGTGCACCCCTGACCATCACATCCATATGTGGTTCTTCTTTCTATAATTGTAT